TACACAAATTTATTTAGAGATTGATCAAATGATTCCCACAAAACCCATCCCCACAGGGAAATATTCTATATGGTCAGGAGAATCTGAACCCAAATACACTCAAATACTGCTATATGGCCAGGAGAATCTGAATCCAAATGCCCAAAAACACTGCTTTGGGAACAGGAGAATCTGAATCTAAATGCTCACAAATATTTCTATATGGTCAGGAGGATCCGAATTCAAATGCCCACAAATACTTCTATAGGATCAGGAGAATCTGAACCCAAATGCCTAAAAATACTGCTATATGGCCAGGAGAAGCTGAATCTAAATACACACAAATACTCCTATAGGATCAGGAGATTCTGAATCCAAATGCTCACAAATATTTCTATATGGTCAGGAGAATCTGAACCCAAATACACACAAATACTCCTATAGGATCAGGTGAATGTGAACCCAAATGCTCACAAATATTTCTATATGGCCAGGAGGATCCAAATCTAAATGCACACAAATACTCCTATAGGATCAGGAGAATCTGAATTCAAATATTCAAAAATACTGCTATGGGATCAGGAGAATCTGAATCCAAATACACACAAATACTCCTATAGGATCAGGAGATTCTGAAACCAAAAGCCCACAAATACTTCTATAGGATCAGGAGAATCTGAATTCAAATGTTCAAAAATACTGCTATAGGATCAGGAGAATCTGAATCCAAATGCTCACAAATATTTCTATAGGATCAGGAGAATCTGAACCCAAATGCCCACAAATACTTCTATAGGATCAGGAGAATCTGAATTCAAATGCCCAAAAATACTACTATGGGATCAGGAGAATCTGAATCCAAATGCTTAAAAATATTTCTATATGGTCAGGAGAATCTGAATCCAAATACACACAAATACTCCTATAGGATCAGAAGAATCTGAACCCAAATACACAGAAATACTTCTATAGGATCAGGAGAATCTGAATTCAAATGTTCAAAAATACTGCTATGGGATCAGGAGATTCTGAATCCAAATGCTCACAAATATTTCTATATGGTCAGGAGAATCTGAATCCAAATGCCCAAAAATACTGCTTTGGGAACAGGAGATTCTGAATNATTTATTTAGAGATTGATCAAATGATTCCCACAAAACCCATCCCCACAGGGAAATATTCTATATGGTCAGGAGAATCTGAACCCAAATGCCCACAAGTACTGCTATAGGATCAGGAGAATCTGAATCCAAATGCCCAAAAATACTGCTTTGGGAACAGGAGAATCTGAACCCAAACGCTCACAAATATTTCTACAGAATCAGGAGAATCTGAATCCAAATACACACAAATACTGCTATATGGTCAGGAGAATCTGAATTCAAATGCCCAAAAATACAGCTATGGGATCAGGAGAATCTGAACCCAAATACTCACAAATATTTCTATATGGTCAGGAGAATCTGAATTCAATTGCCCAAAAATACTGCTATAGGATCAGGAGAATCTGAATCCAAATGCCCAAAAATACTGCTTTGGGAACAGGAGAATCTGAATCCAAATACACACAAATACTCCTATAGGATCAGGAGATTCTGAACCCAAATGCCCACAAATACTTCTATAGGATCAGGAGAATCTGAATTCAATTGCCCAAAAATACTGCTTTGGGAACAGGAGAATCTGAATCCAAATGCTTACAAATATTTCTATAGGATCAGGAGAATCTGAACCCAAATTCTCACAAATACTTCTATATGGTCAGGAGAATCTGAATCCAAATACACACAAATACTCCTATAGGATCAGGAGAATCTGAATCCAAATGCCCAAAAATACTGCTTTGGGAACAGGAGAATCTGAATCTAAATGCTCACAAATATTTCTATATGGTCAGGAGAATCTGAACCCAAATGCCTAAAAAATCTGCTATATGGTCAGGAGAATCTGAATCCAAATGCCCAAAAATACAGCTGTGGGAACAGGAGAATCTGAATCTAAATACACACAAACACTCCTACAGGATCAGGAGATTCTGAATCCAAAAGCCCACAAATACTTCTATAGGATCAAGAGAATCTGAATCCAAATGCCCACAAATACTTCTATATGGCCAGGAGAATCTGAACCTAAATGCTCACAAATACTCCTATAGGATCAGGAGATTCTGAATCCAAAAGCCCATAAATACTTCTATAGGATCAGGAGAATCTGAATCCAAATTCTCACAAATATTTCTATATGGTCACAAGAGTCTGAATTCAAATGCTCACAGTTCATTTCTTCTATTGAAATAAAGTATCTGTGAAGAATATTTTATTTTTGTGAAGAAAGGCAGGATGGTATTGTGGATAATGATTCCCGAGTTAAAGCTCAGGAATTTAACTAAAAGGGAGAAAGTTTTTCCTCCTCTGTAAAAATAAAAAAAACCATTTTCCTCCTGTTCAATCTGACTACTTTTAGGTGAGAAATAGAAGTTTTGTAATGTGTGGAGAATATGGAATCCAGGTCACAGTTCTAACAAGCAATTTGAAGGATGGAAACTATCACCTTTAAACATTATGAAACCTATTAAGAATATGAAAACAAACAAAAAAAAAAAGCCCTATCAAAAATAATTAAACACCTAAGTTAAGTTCAACAGATACCCATAAAAATATAACAAAATTACAAATGGGGAAAAGAAACTGTAAAAAAACCATGTTTTGTTTGATTAGAAAGGAAAATTGTATCTGTTTTAGGATAAAGCCCACACAGTGTCAGTGCTGCTCTTACCGGCGCTGCTCTGCCTCCCTCATTTTCCTCTGGGCTTTGATTTTGTCAAAGGGAACAATCCCCTGTCTCTCTCTGCTCTCTGATTTCCGGTCCTGGCTCTTCACACTCTGTATTTAAAAGAGAAACTTTAATTTATCAAAGAACAAACATCACAGACAGTTCTCTGAGCTCTGTTTGCATTTCACATCTCAAAGCTTGGTCTCTGCTTTTTTCCAAAAGCTGTTTTTTCACATTACAGACACCATCTATTAATACAGTGATACCTTGCCCCATTTATTAGGCAGGATTTGAGTGCTCTATCAGCCAAATAAGAGGGATTTTATTAATTAAAACCATTTTATAGAAACTCTAATTGGACAAACTGGCAAGACAAGTGTGGGTTATACAGAGCCTGGCAGGATTCAGGATTTATTTTCCATGCAGAAGCATCACTTACTCTGTCCTTTGATGTAGTGGAGGTTTTCACACTAATAACAGGTTCTCCTTTGGATTTATCCATGACTACTGTTCTCTCTGTTCCTTTACTTCCTAAATGAATCAGAAGTAGAAAGAAAGGAATTTTATGACCTACACCACTCATTGCTACACCATGCTCACTAAAATGTGAAAATTGACATTTAACTCTCTCTTCAAAATCAATTTTTTCACTCCACCTAATCCAGGCACCTCTTCTATGGATTGCACAATGTCAAACATCTCCCCTTCCCCTTATTCATTCTGGATTTCCACCCAAGAATCTGAAACAAACCCAGTATCTTTAGAAAGAACTACCTGCAATTAAATATTCCTACATCAACATATCTGTATAAAAAACCAACAATCCAATTACCTGATTTAATAGTTTTAGACTGATCTGATGAACCAGACTTCTGGTCATCTTTATCTTTTTTTTCTTTTTCATCTTTATCTTCTGTTTTTTTCGAATCATCTTTTTGATCAGATTTCTCATCTCTTTTAGCACCACCAGGTCTGTGGATAAATATTGATACAGATTAGATTAACACAGAGTAAGAGAAAAAAAAAATCAAGGGAAATGCCAGCAACAAAGTAGAATTCTGATGTGATAACAATCATAATTAGATTTCCAAATATTTCTTTCCACAACTTCCTGCACCATATTCAGACTATCCAAGTAGTCAAACTTGCCAAGGATTCAGGATCTCAATGGAAGCATGAAGACAAATTCACCCCACTTTGTGCTTAATACCCACAGAGTTTCTTACCCAACATGACAATGAACCATTTTTGTCAGGCAAGTGGGTGAAATAATAGCAAGAAATTCTCAGCAAGCAGCATTTAACAGAAGTTATGCCTCAAGAAGGCAAAGTTCTCAATGATTAATTCACTCCTAGTGCCTCTTTCAGCAATGCTAGAGAGGAAGAGCAGACAGATCTGGAACAGATCTTAGACAATTCTATTTTAACTGTTTGAGACCTGGAGGAAACCCTATTCCAGTGAGACAGGAGGTAATGAGGCAATAGTGACACACAGATCAAAATTCTCATATCTTTCCTACAGATTTAAGACATGAAAGCCCCACAATCATTCCTAAACCTCAAATATTTAAATTAAAAATTAAAATTAAATTAAAAATTAAAATTAAAATTTAACGGTGTGCTTGAAAATGCAACCTTCCAATGCCTACTTTAAAGCAAGCAATAGAAACATTTTAATTTAGGCACTGAACATCAACTCAACTCTGTCTTGTAGTAAAAGCTGTACTTGTTTTTTCAATTTTTGCCACAGAAATTCACACTGTAATTTAACTTTTCTCTGACATCAACACAGGCTGAAGCACAGCAAAACACCTTTGGTAGGAGAATTTTGAACACAGTACCTCTCACTGACTGTTTCTCTCTTTGCTTCACTCTCTTTTTTTTCACTTGTCTTCTTCCCAGCGGGTTCATTTTTTGCCTGAAATTTATTTTGCACATCATCAGCTGAGAATGTGGCCTCGATCATTTGCACAATCTGCTGGGGATTCAACATCTCTGAGGGCCAGTACTCACTTTTTCCACAGAAATGATCTTGCCATGCAGCTCTGTCTTGTGCAGGTGGGTGATGCACTTGGTGGCCTCCTCAGCCGTGGACATGGTGACAAAGCCGTAGCAGCGAGCGCCGGGGCTGCGAGCGTTGGTCACCACCTTGGCCCCCACCACCTTCCCAAAAAAAATGGAATTATTCTCCCTGAGACAGATTCCCAAGGTTAAACAGCATCAACTACAAGCTGCATTTCTGCTTTTTTAATTCCTGGGCACTACCAGGCAGGAAAGTTCTTGTTTTGCATTGTTCGGAGCCAACCATGCTTCTGTTACTGATGGAATGCTACGAAAGCTGAACCAAGAGGTGAGAGCTAAAGATGGAATTCTTTTCCAGAGAAAGACCCCCCAGATGAAAATAAGTTTGTTTTAAAAGGCATCAAACCTTGCATTAACATCACATTGCTTTGTATAAAACAATAAATGTCAATATAAATTTTAAAGCAATTTCCACATTAATGCTCAGCTGCTAAGTGCTGAAAAATTGGAATTACTCTTCCTGGGACAAGTCCCCAAGGTTAAACAGCATCAACTGCAAACTCCATTTCTGCTTTTTTAATTACCAGGCAGGAAAGTTTTGCTTTTGAGATTCTGATTTTGATTAACAAGGATGCAATGCTTGGAGCCAACCATGCTTCTGTTACTGATGGAATGCTATGAAAGCTGAACCAAGAGGTGAGAGCTAAAGATTGAATTCTTTTCCTGAGAAAGACCCCCCAGCTGACAATAAATTTGTTTTAAAAGGCATCTAACTTTACATCAACAACATCATTTTGCTTTAGTATAAAATAGTAAATATCAATATAAATTTTAAAGCAATTTCCACATTAATGCTCAGCTGCTAAGTGCTGAAAAAAATGGAATTATTCTCCCTGAGACAGATCCCCAAGGTTAAACAGCACCAATTGCAAGCTCCATTTCTGCTTTTTTAATTCCTGGTCACTACCAGGCAGCAAAGTTCCTGTTTTGAGATTCTGATTTTGATTCTGATTAACAAGGGTGCAATGCTTGGAGCCAACCATGCTTCTGTTACTGATGGAATGCTAGAAAAGCTGAACCAAGAGGTGAGAGCTAAAGATTGAATTCTTTTCCTGAGAAAGACCTCCCAGCTGACAATAAATTTGTTTTAAAAGGCATCACACCTTGCATTAACAACATCACATTGCTTTAGTATAAAACAGTAAATATCAATACATATTTTAAAGCAGATTTCCACATTAATGCTCAGCTCCTAAGTGCCAAAAAAAATGGAGTTAGTCTCCCTGGTGAAAACTCTCCAAGGTTAAACAGCACCAACTGCAAACTCCATTTCTGCTTTTTTAATTACCAGGCAGGAAAGTTTTGCTTTTGAGATTCTGATTTTGATTAACAAGGGTGCAATGCTTGGAGCCAACCATGCTTCTGTTACTGATGGAATGCTACAAAAGCTGAACCAAGAGATGAGAGCTAAAGATTGAATTCTTTTCCAGGGAAAGACCCCCAAGATGAAAATAAGTTTGTTTTAAAAGGCATCTAGCTTTACACCAACATCATTTGGCTTTAGTATGAAANAGCCGGAGTAGCTCGGAGCTCCCGTACACCCACAGCGAGGCAGGGCAGAAGGGTATCCTTGGGGGCCAGCCGGGTATTTCAGCAGAGAAATCGCTTTTATCCAAAATGCGTGTGAATACACGACTTTAAAGATTGGTTCTCTCTTCTCAGCTCTCTTGTATCTGTCCTATGTCCTGTTACTGCAGTACCGCTGTCTTGGGTTGTCCCCTTGTACAGCTTTTGCTGTTTTCTTAAAGGGAAAACATCTCTCTGTGAGTCTGGGAAAATCGCTTACCTCAGATCTCTGATTTATAATAAAAATGTCAATAAATGCCAAATATTCTCTTCCCATCTTCCCTTTTGTAGGTTGTGATCACAGCTGTAAAACTGGTGACTGCACATCATGCAGGGAAACGTTAAAAGCCGTGGCCAGGTGTTCATTGGGCTGTAATGAGCTTAACAAGATATTGGTGTCTGTCAGATTTATTTGATAAATATCAGGTTTATCAGGAAGAATTAACATAGATGGCTTGCTTCCTGCAGAACCCTTGAGTTGCTTTTAGCAGAGGAATGTGCCAGGGATTCTCAGGCTTTAAAAAGTGGCACATGCTCTTGAGGAACTTGACACTTTCTAATTTCTGTATTGAAAACCACCAGTGATAAAATGTGAATTAGGAGTAGTTTCAAGGGGCTGACAGGGAATAGTTGTCCTGGGGAGGCAAGGAACATAGGGAGGTGTTTTTCTGATTTTTTACTTACAGTAAGACATGAGGTTTCTTTATTGATACCTTCTTTGGCAATCCAACAACTGAGAGATGCACTGATGGTCAGAACAAGAACTGAACTGTTGTGCTTTCAATTTTTTCAGGTTCCTGGTCAAAGGAGGCCTGGCTGGAGCTGCTGTGTACGTGGCATACGACCAGGGGCTGCTGGGCAGTGGCATTGAAGGTGCTGAAGCCCTGAAAAAAGCTCAAGAAACGCTGCCTCCAGCTATCCAAGAGTGGACAGATTACCTGGGCTGGGAGGTGAGGGCTGCTCAAACACCCCCCTGAATCAGGGGGAGAAAATATGGGGCTGATATTCTGATTCCAGTGAGGCTGGCAGGAGTTTTGTTGTTGAAACTGGGTTCCACATGGCAAATATTTTGAGGAGGATTGAAGTGGAAAGTGAATAAAATGCTAAATTTGGGGCAGAGATATTGCTCACAGATGTAATTTCAAAGGAGAGGGATAAGCAGAGGGTCAAGGGGGGACTGCAAACATGCTCTGGGAGGTAATTCACTGTGTAGTTTTCTTCTGAAGGATCCCACTTGTTTTTAAGAAAAACAATGAAAATATTATCCTCATATTCTTTATGATATGAGGATAATAATATGAGGAATTCTATTCAATTTCTCACATTGCTAACAGTTCAAGTTGAATTTAAATTGCTTGAAGAGGCCCTTCCTCTGTGAGTTGTTCTTAGTTTTAAAAATCCTCAGAAAATAAGAAACCTTTGCTTAAAGTTTGAGAAAATTTTTTCATATTACAAACTAACAGAGACAGCCATTGAGATGCTTTTTCAGGAGCACCTAAATCATATGTTGTACTTTTTGCACCTACTTTATATTGCAGGGAAAAGTAAAATCCAGACTTTAAAGATCATGTCTGGTCCCTTTTGAGGCTTGTGGCACCTAAGTGTTTTTGAGATCTGAGGTCAAGAGGCTTTGCCAAGGTGATGTGAATTCCAAGTGAAACTCCTCAAGTGCTGATATTTTGTCTCTCTCTTTCTTTCTAGCTCCCAGCCACTCCAAAAATTGACTTTTCCCTCTCTGCTTCCTGGAATAAAGGTAAAATAACTGCTCATTAACTGAGTCTGAGCTCAGTTTTTCAGAAGGGATGAGCATTCCTATTGCTATTAGAATTTTAGACATTTTTGTTTGAAGGCCAAACCTATAAATACCAAGTAATTAATACCTATACTGGGTTATAAATACCTAGTAATATATAGGTTTTATGGTGCAGGAAAGAATCTTCATGTAATTGTGGGGAAACACAATCCACAAATAACTGTGACATGTCCAGCATCACCCATGGAGTCAGAAATAAAAACAGGAATAAAAACAAAGAGCTGAACTCAGTCCTGTAATTGTCTTAGGAATTTCTGTGTCACAAATGCTCAGGGCTTAACAAGATCTGTTGGAAATGGGGAAATTTGGCTTGGATGATGATTTTGGGGTAATTTTTCTCTGCTTTGCTTGCAGGGGTGCACACAGTCATGGGTGCCTTGTCTGCAGCTCCCAGCAGGGCCTGTGAGTACACAGTGGAAGGCTGGAAATATGTGAAGGATCTGATGAAATGAAAACGTTCTCCAGAGCTCAGGATTCTCTCCATCTCCACCTCTGGAGGCAGCTCAGCCGTGTAAGGGCTACAATAAAAGACTTTGGTGGAACTTTCATTTGTGTTTGGGTTGGTTTTAGCCTGCAGAATGGAATTTTTAATCTGCTTTGTCTTAGCACTGATCCAAGGCTTCAGGAATCACAGATAGCTGTGATGAAGTGCTGAGAACAGCTTCTGTTCTAAAGCTTGGAAATAAAATAATTATTCTGAAGCTGAATGAATCTTGAAGATAAATGCATTCTAATTCAAACCAAGCCAACAAGAGTTCAAAAAAATTTTAAAAATTCCGAGGTAACAGTAAAAGATGGCCTGGGAGGATGATACATAAGTGAGCAAAGTTTATCTGCATGAAACCTTTTGTTAGCTTGCACCATGGCCCAGTTGGCAGACTGTGCACATTTTCATTTTAATGTGGGTGGAAACTTACACAAGATCACTTTTCAGTCACAGGTTTTGCTTTTTCCTGCAATATAAAGTTGGTGCAAAAGGTAGAACATTGTCACTTTTCACAGGCAAATATAAGGAGGACACCACTTGTAAAATAAAGTTACAAACTGATTCTGTGTTTTTAACCCTCTTTGATAGGATTGCTGTCATTTAGAATGTGCCAAAACAGCTGCAGAACAGGGAACAGCAGGATGAGTCCTTACTCAAATCAGGAAGCAAATACAGAACATGAGGATGAAGAAAGATTTGCAGTTTTGTTTCCTTTTTTTAACAAATAGATAAATGATGAAGCCAACTGCCCAGAGATTTCAGAGGATTTGGCTGAGATGCAAATGCCTTTAGAAAGTGCTTAAGTTAATTCCTGAAGGATGGGTCCATCAGCAGCTCTTAAACCTGATGGTGCAGAAGCTTCAAGCCCAGCAAACTCTGGAGTTGTTCCTGCAGGTGCCCGATGCTTCACAGCACCCCAAACCCAGATAACCTCCATCAATGCCCCAGTTCCTCTCTAAATTTGCAATGTCCACTGCTCTTGAGGCAGCACAGCTTTGCTTCCAGGTCTGTTCCTCATTCTCTAAGGAATTCCTGACATTCATCTGGAGAGTTTTCCTCTCTCTGGCTTTGCTACAAACCAAATGGAAGCACTTGGAGCAAAGCCCAGCACGTACAAACAGGACACTGCACCTCTGCTATGCTCAGAACTTGCTGCACACTTTTCAGGATCTTCTGTACCAATTCTTTGATGTTTGCTCTCCAAAGCTTTATCACTGTAATTTGCTTTTTCCATTGATGAATGGAAAAAAAATCTTTATGCAAGTCATAAAAAACCCTTTCTCTAAAGATAGAAAAACCCCAGTGACCCTACAAATGAAATAACAGGAGTTTTTTTTTTCCTCTTGGCATCATGAAAACCATTTTAGGGTAAGGCTAAGGTCGTGTTGCTCCAGAGATGTCTGCACAAAGACAAATTACAACATGGATATGACAAAGCAACATCATTTGCACCAATCTTGATCATGTCAGTTCCTCAACACAAAATTATGCAGCAGCCCCAATATCTTTTTTTATTCATAATCTTAGTTGGTTTGAGCAGAAAAATTCTGCTCAAACAGAATTTTTCTTAGAAGAATTTTTCTTAGAATTCTGCTCAAACAGAATTTTCCTTAGAAGAATTTTTCTTAGAATTCTGCTCAAACAGAATTTTTGAAATTTCTGCTCAAACAGAAATTATGAACTGCTAGGTAAAATTACTGGGGTGTAAGACTGGTGGAGTTTTGGATTACCCTGATCTATCAGAAGCTGAATAAAGCAATCCTGACAAGCACCTCTGAGCTGTCTCTGACAGAAGCTGTGCTGCTCTCACAGAATTTAACTCCTTTTTCAGACATTATATTACACATGACACCAGATGAAAAGAATTCTTCACCACTTGCCCTGCAAGCTCCTGTGGCAATTCTGCAGTGGCAGGGCATCAGACTTTGGCAGCTGTGATCCACAAACGTTCTCTCATGGATTGGTAACTGGCAGCTGTGGTAAAACACAATATTTCACTATTTCTGGGAGTGCAAATGGACACCTGTAAGGCATTTTGACACTTCACCTTTGAAACAATGTTAAGCTGAAGAAATCTGTTTGACAGGAACTGCTGAAACAAAGCAAGTAACTGTAAACTGGTGTTTATTCATGGAAAATGGAATGCTTCATTAACAAACATTTTTAAATGGGATATGAACAACACCTTACAAAACAAATGAGTTCACATTGGATTGAGTGACATAATATGGCAGCAGCTTAAAAAAAATTACACTTACAGTAGCCCATAAGTTACAATTAATGGTAACCCTGGGGTAACAGATTTGTTTCACTTTTGCCACCTTGCATTAAAAACCAAACCCAGTCAGTAGCGACGGTTGAACCGAGGATCGTTGGGTCTGTTTGCCCTTTCCTGGCCAGCAAATCCTTCTCCCTGCATTCCTCCTCCGTGCATGATCTGACTCTGATTGCCACCCTGCATGAAACTGCCACGCCTGCAAAGGGATTCACACATTTCAGTATTCTCATGCTGGTACACTCAGGTTGTTCTTTTTGTTGTCATTCCATAAATTGCATTAGATAAAAACCAAGGGGATATTTAATTATTCATTGATATTTAAGTAACAAATTAGATAACTGATACTCCCTTTGTCAATTTAAATAGAAGAAATGTCCCTTAACAGGAAAACAAACACTTTGCTCCATTTAAAGTTCTTACCCTGACATGCCTCCACGATGCATCACATGGCCAGGTCTGCCTCTACCGCCACCTAAAAACGTTCAAACAATCCCTTTATATCCACAGCAAGAGTTTTACTTCAAGGATAATGTCTGAATTTCCTTTTTCACACAGGAGCCTACCTTGCCATCTCTCATGATCCCGACCTATCATCCCTCCATCCACGCTGCTCTGCCAGGAACGATCTTGGTGCCCCTCAAACTTCCGACTGTGATCTCCCCAGTCACGTCCATCCCTGTGAACACATGAAATTCCCATCTTCTCACACCAGCCACAGCACATGGAATAGATTTGTGTTTGAATCTAAGTCACAGACTTACTCAAATGTCTTACAAAGGCTCATATGAATCTTATATTTATACTGCTATCTGTTAAGTAAAATCTCAGAAGAATTTTTCTGCTCGAACCAACTAAGATGATGAATAAAAAAGATACTGGGGGAGAACCACTATCCTGAAATTAGCAAGGTTTATAGGAATGCTAGTTAAAATTTGTCACAGACTCATTTTATGAAAAATCCTTTTGTTAGGATTTTTCCTCCTGAGAAGCTGAGAGGCCTCAGGAACAAAATGTAAAGAATGATTATCTGCTGTTGTGGAATGCAGCAGGTGCATCTGTGATTGGTCTCATGTGGTAGTTTCTAATTAATGGCCAATTACAGTCAGCTGGCTCAGACTCTGGTCAGTCACAGGATTTTATTATCATTTCATTCCTTTCTATTCTTAGCTAGCCTTCTGATGAAATCCTTTCTTCTATTCTTTTAGTATAGTTTTAATATAATATATATCATAAAATAATAAATCAAGCCTTCTGAAACATGGAGTCAACATTCTCATCTCTTCCCTCATCCTAAGCCTGCTGTGAACACCATGACAAAAATTAATGGCAAGCATTATGACTTTAAGATGTGAAGTTATTAAAAAGATCAGGTGAGTGCATGTTTTGATGCATAAGGCATCAAATACCTGCAGTCCATCCAACACACCTTTGGTGAAAACTGGAAAAAAAAATAACATATTCCAAAAACTTTGACATGTGGGAACATTCCTTAGGTGCAGGAGGAGAGGTGTTTTGAAAAGGTTGGCAGCACTAACCGTGACTGTGGGGGGATCCCTCTGCTCTCACTCATCCTCCTGTCGGAGCCGTAGCTGCCCCAGCTCTCCCGCGAGTCCCGCGAGTGCCGCTCGGGGCCCCCGTGCCGCTCGTCTGGGTAGTGCTGCAAGGACAGAGCTGTCACACACCTGCTCAGCTGGGACCTCCATCTCACCCTCAGCTGCGAGGGNAGTATGAAATAGTAAATATCAATGCAAATTTTTAAGCAGATTTCCACATTAATGCTCAGGTGTTGAGTGGCACCTTCCCTCCAAAACCTGTTTATGTGTTCCTGCTGAGGCAGATCAACAATGTTATCTGCAATCTTTAGGAAACATGAAGTTTCCTCAAAAATTAGAGCTTGAAAAAGTCACACAAATAATGTTTATAGATGCTCAGATATTCAGTACAGCTCACTTTGTAATACAGAAATCAATCCTATTTTAGGAGAGATGTTTTAGTACAGCTGAATAAAGAACCAACTTCTGAGCATTTGCTTTATTGCACATCTACTTCCAGGAACCTCTGCCCCTGTTAACACTCTAAAGAAAATAACAATATTTTATTTAAATGACTCAATGGTACCATGACATCTATTAGGGCCAAATGCTAGGCTGGCTGTTTACTTTTTAATTAAATTAAAAGTTTTGTGGCACATCTCCATGACCAACAATTCAGGTTACCAGATGGAATTCTAAGCAAATCAAAGCATTGCATTACAAGGTTTTACCAGAGCCATGACTTTCAAACTCCAAGCTGTGCTACAACCAATTAATTTTTGTACCTATTTGTAAAATCATCTTTAAGTTCCAGAGAATTTTTATCAGTAAAACATCCAATGGTTGATTGCCAGCACACACAATTTGTTTTTATTACAATCTGCCAGTAGTAATCTGTAAATAGGATTCAAAGGTCTGACAAAAATCCTCATTCATGGCTTTGATATCAGCTTTTTATTGAACTCTTTCAATTTTCCAGTTGATATTGACATTTTGTCTGTCCTTAACAGCAACTGCAAAACCAAACAAGTGTTTTTCAAAGGAACTGCCAACTCCTGATAAATTAAAATTTAAGTTACTGAGGCAATTTCTAAGATATTCCCCAGTAATTCTGTCTCAACATTTACTGCATATTTACTTAGTCCTAAGGAAATCTTTAATAAGCATTTAATTCAATTGCCTGAGAATTTTCAGGTGAAAATACCACAGTGCAGCACAGAAGTGTGGGTATAGTTACTATTTCAAATGGAATTTTATATTTATTTTTATATATTCTGGGCAACAGAATAAAAAACCTCCAGTCATTCAGTGTGTATTTTACCTTGATATCCCACAGTATTTTTGGTAACTGGAATCTTTTCCTGGGTACTTTCAGTGATGAGAGTTTTAAAAGTTTTATTAACAGTTTCAAATAAACTTGTGCAAACAAACCACACACCAAAATAAAAAACAAACCAACAAAAAGAACTCCTTACCTTGCCATATTTGCTAAACAGATTCTTCAGATCTGTAGCTCTGGTGGTGGAAGCCAATCCACTCACCCAAAAGTTTCTACCAGAACTGCCAGCACTGCGACCTGGGTGGGAAAACAAACAGAAAAACCAAAACATACCCCAAATCCTAATTATTGGGATTAATTATGTGAATTTAAACAGAGCAGGATCACAAATTTTTAATTTTTTAAAATCACAGAGCAAGTGAAAAGCATTGTGTGATATTCTGCTCCCATGATTTGCTTTGCTGAAGGTAAGGAGCAGTACAAGTGCAAAAATTTGGGTGGAACTATGAGTTTTGATATAGAAATATTTTATATCATTCTTCAAGAAAGAAACTGGATTAGGGCACCTCTGAATTAATGAGGTCCTTAAAAACATGCCAGGATAAATCCAAGTAATTTACAGAACACAGAAGAGTTGTGGGAACTGTGCCTGTACCCCACATGTGCTTTTTATATGAACTAATTTTTATTTTATCTCATTTTTATCTTCTCTCATTTTTATCTTAACTCCAAAGGAATGCTGATGCAGAATTCCTCTCAAGGAAAAAGTCACCACTAAGAAACCAAGAATTTCTCTTTCTGCCCACACAGATCCACAGCTGGGATTCAGTCTGACCTAGGAATTTAGGAAATCAGACCTGGCCTGCTTAAACCATGCAAGAATTGCAGCAAACCCCTGGGGAATTGTGATTAAATTACCTACAAAGGTGATTTAATGAATGCTGATGAATTTGCCAAGTCTGAACACCCACCATGAAGTGATTAAAGATGAACCTCAGGCCAAGGTTCAGTGTTTGCATGAAGCACTCACACAAGGATTCTGCTCCCTCTGAAATGTCTGTCTGTCCTTCTGTCAGTCTGGGCAGCTGCAAGGCCTCAGTGAATGGGTTTCAATCCAACTCCCTGCTTCTATATTTCTGTTTTGGGTTTTTTTTGGTGATAAATGGAATTTTATAGAAGTCATTTTTCCCAGAACCTTTCCAAAATGTTATTTTATTTGGGTGCCTTTCCATCTTCTACATCCTGATAATTTCAGTCACTGGCACAAGTAACTGAGAACACAGTTAATATTAAATTTATATTAAGAATAAATTTATATGTATTAATTAAACTAATATTTAAACAGGTTTCCTAGGGAAGAATGCAGTGATTTGTATCAATCTCTTACAAAATATCCAAAAAGAAGTGGTTTTTTGCATAAAGGTGAGCACACTTGTGCCATCATTTATCTCAGAAGTGCATGCACACAAACACGTGGGAGATGCATCGTTCTCTTTTAAAAAGCTGAGCCAAAGGCTTTGATGCTTTTATTCCACACATTTTTACAATTTAAAAATTACTGTCTGGCACCAGAATCCTGGAGAAAGAAAAAAGTGCTCCTTTTTCTCTTTTCTATTTTACCAATGAGTTTTTTTAAGATTTTTAAAATTATGTTAATGTCCTTTTTGATTAAGGATTCATCAGTCTTAATGTCAGGTTTTGCCCTCCTACAAGACTTTTTAAAGTGCTCCTGCAATGGTTCTGCACTTTTAAAACATGAAAATATTGAACTTTGAACCAAGAACAATGCAGGCATTGGGAGTGAACCATCAACACTGGAGAAATCTTTCAGCTGTGCATCCATCAACAGCCAAACCCAGCAGGGTGAGCTCATAAATTTATTTTTCTGCACTCTTGTTGACAGTTTTTAGAATTCTTGCATGGAATATGGAAAACTCTTCATCCTAAATAAAACCCTCTCATACAAGTGGGCAAAAAGCAATGGATGAGTGACACCTGAATTGTACAGACTATTTTAGGTTCCTTCTGGCTCAGTCACTTTGCAGAGAATGTTCCACAGCCAAGCAGCTCCCTCTCACTGCTGCTCACAAAGCCAGAACATGAATAAAACAAATATTGTGGAGCACAGAGGAATGCAGGAGCAAGGGGGTTCCAGACACCCAAATTCCTGAAGGCTGCTCTGAAAGCAAACTCACTGAAAGGTGTTCTCAGTCCACAAAAATAATGCACACAAGTCCTCAAGTAAAGGACAGCATGCACAGAAAACTCCTTGAAATATTCTGAAATAAGAGAACTTGAGATTGCAGACTGGAAGCAAGAGGTGAATTGACCCTGACAGGGAGGGCCAGCAGTTTGTGCAAACAGGAATAACCCAGATCTGGGAAAAAGCAGCTGACAGGGAGGTGAGTCTGGGTTGTAAAACCCAACTCAAACCAACCCAATTCCTCCTCATAATGAGTTTCTTGATTTTTATAGGAAATGCTGGAACTTCCATAGTTCAAAGTGCTGAAGTCCTGCCAGCAGCATGTAAGAGAACAGAGCTGCAAAGACTCAGCTGCTTGGTTATTAAAAGCAAGAAGTATGAAGGAAACTGTCATTGATTAAAATAAATTTTTCTTGTTTATGATGCCTATTTGCACCATAGATAGGATCTGTGTGGAAGTTTAATAAAGTTTATTAAATTTTATATTTATATATTAAATTATATAAATGAATTAAGAAGTTTAATAAAATCAATATAATTTCAAGGCAACGTGAAGCTGTAATATTTGTAGCATTTAAATATGTGAATACTGGATCCCAAATTACTTCAGCAAAACAGAAAATGGGAAGGAGAATTCCAAGTGTATAGTAAAGCAAACAATTGAAAAAGGTTTCTAACAGCTGTTAGTGGGCATCTCCAGTGCCAAATAACCATAATTGTCATGTATTAACATTGACCTTTCAAAATCAAGCTACAAACACAACAGTGCAATGCACATGTCCTGAAAAATGCATAAAAGGAAAATACTTATTTAGACATTACTATGCAGAAAGAGGTGAATTTATGTTATTTAACAGCTGCATAAGACAATCAACATTTACTGAAATAACCCATCCAAGACAAACAGCCATCCAAGCAATCATTCAAGTTCTACATCTAAAAACAAACATACCTTTCTCATCTTTTGAGATTATCTTTGTATCTCTGTCCTCCTCAACAGGGCTAAAGACAAAACACCACATTATTCAAGTCAGAAAGAAAAGTGACTAAATAGAAACTATGAAAAAAGCTAAAATTAAATACCTACCAGAAAATATGTTGGAAACAAAAACACACCTTTGTATAGTGGATTTAAGAAATCTGACGAGAAATAACGAAGTCAGATTCTTAAACAGACTTACATTAAGAAGATGATTACAAATAAGACTAATTTGGGAAAACAACCTTTGAAGGTTGATGAAGGAAAGAAATCAAACCCACTGCGTTTAAAAAAAATAAAAAATATCTGCACATGGAGAAATAAAAGAGACCTTTAGGAATAGGCTACAATTTCATCAGTCTCGGAGGCCAATTGAAGGAAACAGCTTATTCGCATCACTTAAGGACCAATGATAAAAGATAGCATCTGGTCTAGAACGGAGAAAAAACAAACCTCTTTTTCTGATCAGCGCCCTCACTGGCTGAGGACTCTTTAGTGGCAGGGGAAGATTCCTCAGAATTAGCTTTGTCTTCTGCTCTCTTGCCATCTTCTTTGCTAGCTCTGGCTTCGGCACCTGCGCCTTTCTCCGCTGCCTCCCCACTAGAGGCTTCCAGGCCTTGGGAGCGTTTGCTACTCTGATCGCTTAGGGTCTCTACCACTACACCTTCAGAGTCCGGGGCCTCTTCCTCGGGGCTCTGTTCACTTGTCTCCCCTTTTGCTACCACTAAACGCTTTGCTTCCTTCCTTGCCAAAGCTTGGGCCGATTTGCTGTCCAAAGCTAAAGCATCTTCCTCCAGCTGAGCGGCAGCGAGAGCGTCCTCTTCCTCAGCCAGCCTCTTGCCTGGCCCCACGTTACTGGCTTCCTGCGCACGCGGCCGCTCCGCTTCGGGAGGTTGTTCTTCGTTAAGTAGCTCAGATTTACAAGTTTCCCCCAAAATGTCGAGTATTTTCTCATTTTCTACGGATTTAACAGGAATAGAATGGCACAAGATTTAATCACCAGGGAAATACAGCAAATCACAAATGTGGAACTGGCATGGCTGCCACACTAACACCAAGAGAACTGCTAAGCTACACAGAGATTGGAAAACCCTAGTGTACACAGTGTTACACCTACCACGCTCACTGCTCTCTCACACCCTGCCAAATCAGCCCTAGCACCTCAACAGCCAAGAAAAATGCCCCCACAGATTTAACAAAAAACTTCAGGCTCAGCCTTCATATTCTTCAGCAAATCGTTCAGCTCTGTTTCTTCTCTAGTTAGCTTCCAGAGTCCGAGATGCTTAACTGAACGTATCAAGGCACTGAGAGTTCAATTTTTAAATTTCTGTGAAATTCTTTTAGCAGAGACAGTCCAACATGAGAACTGGGCATCTTCTGATGGTGCATGAGTGTGTTTGCAGTCCAGAAAGGGAAAAGTATCTGTATGAAATTTCCATGAAGAAACTCTCTTCTTTCTTCTGTATCCAGTAACTAATCTTTACACTTTAATGCCCTACAATATCTTTTTACTGCTTTCACTGCTCTCTACATAGTAACAGAGTTAAGGTGTGTGCAATATCACAAGATCTGTTTACAAGTAGAATATTTAGCTTTTATAACTGTGATTAAACTTCTCTAAATCCACTTATGTAGTTTAACAGGTTTTTAAACCATTTCATTTCACTGGAAGTATTTCAAGCATCACTTCACAGATCTGGGGATATGATTGGGTTTCCAATCTCTATGACCCTGCATGATCTGGATTGTCCATTATAAAAATAATGCAAATTATGTTTGTTTGCTTGGGTTTTTTAATAGTTAATGGTTTAAAAAGTATTAGTTGAAAAGACAGGAATATGTTTTTCTTTAACAGTACCTGGCTCCAAGTGTAGCTTCTCCATTTTCTGTTTAGGAAAAAAAGACCACAGAATGAGGATTTTATAAAATGTGTTTTCTAACACAGAGTAATAACAATTCCCTGCTCAATCCCAGAATTGAATACTAAATAAATTCATTTATCACATTTAGCTCTTTTTTTTCAGCATCCACTGGAAAGGAATATTTTATATAAGGAGTATTTTATATTTTCTTTTCTGGCACAATAAAGCCACATCAAAATATCAGCCATAACTGCATTCTCCAAAATAAATCTGAATTATAAAAAGACCAATAAAGTATCTTTGTGTACCACCACTCCAACTACAGAGTAAAAAACAAACCCAGCTACTATTGCATATAATTGTGGGAGAGAGAAGAAATCAGCAGTACAAGCCCCTTTTTATCTGCCTGAAAGTGAAGGAAATCTTGAGAGCTGACTGAAAAGTAGGGAAAAAACCCCAGGGCACCCCCAATTCACACCCTGTGCTGAGCAAGGTCTTGGATTCTGCTACAATTTCATTTTCATTATGGTCAATTTTGGTTTTTGCAGTATGAGAACTCAGTAAATATTAATATTAAAACATACAGCTATGAAATAGAGCTACATTTTCAGTTTACCTTCATTTCAATTAAATCTGAAGAGGCTTCTAAATTGTTTTCAATCTCATCATAATCTTCCTAAAAGAGTAAAAAAGGAATGAAAGTATTTCTTACCAAAAGCAGCTTAAGGAGAATACACCTGTACTTAAACCAGAAATATTTTAATCTCAATTGATACTTCAGAGTGTGACCCAGAAATGAGGAGCAATGTGTGAACATACCTGATACTTAAATATCTTTCTCCAATTAATTTTCATTTTAATTTCAACAGGACATTGTCTATTTCAAAGTTACTCTTAGAGTCTTATTTCACATTTCTGTTGTTACTGAACATGTTTTTTTTTTTTTCCACTTTCCCACTTTTTAACTTTAATTTCTAAATGAAAAAAAAGTTAGAAATGAAGCTGACTTAGGTTTACACTCTTCCAAAATGAAAATATACCCCAAAAATCTTTTTTTCTTTAATGAGGGGAGGGTAAGATGCAATCAAAACTCATCCATTAGATGAAGTTAATTTACAGAATATCACAAAATTAATTTCAAGTTAAGGGAATGCTGTTGCCACTCTGTTTAGTCCCACAAAAGGGGAGATTCTCTCCAAGCCTTTGTGTTTGTTTGGTCTGTTGGGGCACTGAAATCCCTGCAAGAGAGGACTCAGTGGAAAATTGCAGCTGCTAAGCCACAGAGCAGCTGCCAGCCCAAGGAAAAGACAGAAGATTTCTGGTTGTTGACCCAGCTCTGTGCCAAGGGTCACCTCAGATGTCACACTGGTGTCACCCACCCTCACTGATGGAAAATCAGTCACACAAACTCCACCTGAATGTACAAATAGTGTAAAAGTGAGTTAAAAGTGGGGAGAAGTTAAGGAAGGCTCCACTGCCACAGTCTGAACCTGACTTTTCCCCTTTAGGGATGTCTGGTGGGTAAGAATTGTACTCTGAGTGTGATGAATGATGAACTCCAGGCAGCTTCTGGTAGGAATTAAAGCTTGTTAATATGGGCGGTTGTTTTACAGATACCACCAGCAATCCTGGAACCTTAACCTGCTGTGATTTTTTATTAAATTAACGCTGTTATCCCATAAAGGGATCAGTGTGAGTCCTGATGTGCCTGCAGTGAGTAAGAGACTCAGCTGAGGAGAGCTGGGACAGGGGGCTGGGACTGGGTCCCCCTCCCCAGGGCACTGGGACCACTCTCTGCTCCAGGGCACTCCCAGTGAGGGGTGCCCAGAACACGATGCTGATTTTGTGGGTTTTGGCTTTCCTGTGGCACTGACAGACCAATCAAACTCAAAGGCTTGGAGAAAATCTCCCTTTTCAGGTGACAGAAAGGAAATAAGAAGTTGAAGCAGATACACAGGCACCAAAGAAAAAATATGTTCTGTTCAATGACTGAACAACCTAAAACAAATAAAAACAAACCCACAAGAATCCAAAAAGGATATTTGGGGAGTGAATGTGACACATGGATAACCCTGTGCTGTCTGCAAATGACATTGCAAGCTGCTCTCAAAACCAAATAAAAGCCTGACAATGCCAGAACAGGGCAACACAGGAAGTTCTTGTTTTATCACTCTCTATGAGAAAACAGAACACCACAGCTTCCTTAAACCAGAGCATTATTTCTGCAGAAAAAATATCCAAATTACCTGAGTTGAACATTTATTTCTCTCTCTCCTCATATATATAAATGCCTAGGTGTATGCACATGTACACTTTAACATGTATAACATACAGACAGAAGAGGGAATACAGAAACTAAAACAGCATTTTCAATTCCAGGCTCCTTTCACAGCAAGCAAAGCTGCAAGGTAAGGAAGATGGTGATTTGTCTACTGAGAACATTTCAAGCCTCAAGAATATTTACAAGAATAGGACATGAGAGCTGTGAATGGGGAATACAAACCAGATCACATTCATGTCCTATGTTCTACTGCACTGAAATCCCTTCTTCATGTGCCCACATCTCCATCAAATATCTTCTGAAAAATTACAAAGACCTCTCCTCACTCACCTCATTTTCTGTTAGCTGATCAGGAAGCTCTTTCATTTCTGCTTCAACATTATCTTTGTTATCAGACAGGGAATCAAGAATATTGTCAGGACTGTAATCTTCCCCACAGTCCACAGCACTGCTGTTATCTATCTCAGCTTCATCAAGCACACTGATATCCATCATGTCAATGTCCTGCAAGGTGTCCAGATTTGCTTCAATATCCTCCTACACAGAGAAAAATGTAAATGTGTGTTTATTGCAGGTCACAAAAGGCACATTCTTAGTAAATGCAATCATCATTTCACTGACCTGCCCATCTCTGGAGTTTTCTTCTAGACCATTGTCTTCCACACCTTCTTCTTCTGGCTTTCTTCCTACAAACAGTAGCACTGCAGTGAGATGTAGCACTACATTTTGTACTTTGTTTAAGCTTTTGTGAATTATCTGTTACAAAAAGTAATCCTTGAAAAAGCTGATTCAAAGTCTGGGTCTGTGTGGATGTAACTGAGGCCCCCTGGCCACCCCATAAAAGCAAACAGCATGAACTACCAGCAGTATTTTTTTTTAAATGCTACAGTATTTTTCTAAAGCTACAGTTCATTGCACAACACTTCAATACCTAAAAAGACACAACAGCCTCTGGGTAATCCATTTAAAAGTAACACCTTAAGATTGTTATGAAAACACCTCCCTTAATTAAACGGATTTAAGAATTAAGTGTTCACTTTCAAGATCTTGGACGTACAAATCACATTTATGCACATCTGTCACCTCCATCTCGTACTGCTATTCAAAGACAACAGCTCTTTTTCTATTTTTAGCCAGTCTGTCTTAAAAAAGCAGCTTAATAATCTGTTTCTCATCAGAAAATATTTTAAGAACTAGTTATCAGCAACTCAATAAGCCACATGTAAAACGGTATGTACAACATTTAATATTTTGAAGCAATATATAGTTAAATATAATTAAAGTTTACAAATTATAGAGGCTTCCATGAAGCTTATGCTGCAGTTGCTTGCTCTGTGCTTGACACAATTCTACTCATGGTCACAAATACAGCAACACCTACAATTTACAGTTTCAGCTTTGAGTTTCAAAACTTCCTAATAAAACACAGGTTTAAAGTTGTGATTGCTCATTAATGCAAGAGAGTTTTGTCATTTTCCACAAGGTAAAAAGCAAATTTTTTTTTCAAATTAAACCAATTCAACAGGAGAAAACAAGTTTGTATGCCAAGTTCTAGCACCATGCAAACAGATGCAAACAGTGGAAGTGCAAGCATCCAGACACTGTACCTTTGCTAGTTCTTTTTGGCATTCTCTTTGTGGTCAGCTCTGAGGCCACAGGAATTTCATCAGGATCTCCTCCTTCCTCCTCAATGGCCTGTTGGAGACAGCAGGATGATATCCAGTATGATTTGCTGCTGTGCATTTCTACTGGCTTTGGATGGGCCAGTTAATTCCCTTCACAACAGCTGACAGGGGGCTGTGGTTGGAGTTTGTGCTGATAACAGAGTTATGTGGTGCTTGGCTTCCTGCTAGGGTTTAATCACAACTGCATTCTTTAGGATTTTTCAGAGAGAAATATTGGTGTCCCTCCCTAGCTCAGGACATACAGCCAGGCAGCTGTATCACCTGTCAGAAATGCTAAATAATAGGGTGCAACACATCCCCACAGGCAAATGAAGCTACAGCTGGGGAGCAAAGCTCCCTGCTCTGCAGATAAACACATTAACAGTATAAAACTGGGAGAGACTCTCACAGGAGCTCAGGAGAATGAGTTTTTTTTTTAATATGCAGGCTTGTCAGACACCTTAAAAGAGCCAAGGCTGAGCATGCTGTTCTGGCCTCATGGAAGTCTGTGGGAACACATTCCAGAGAGGTCAGAGAGATGGAACAAGGTCAAGTGTAGCGGTGCCAAGCATCAGGGCAGAAACTGATGCACAGAAAGTTCTACCTCAATAGGAGCATAAAATTCTTTACAGTGCAAGTAAGCATGCACTAGAATAGATTGCCCAGGGAGGGTGTGCAGTCTTTCTCACTGGATGAAAGTACTGTACCATGGGTTCTAGGACAAAACCCTGCTGAAGCAATGACCCAGTGCGATCCCTTCCCAGCTTACCGATTCCGCGAACGGCTCAGAGAAACACGAGAACGGGTACGGGGAAGAGGCCCGTGTGTGTGGGTCGGGGGAACCGGAGAGTAAAGCGGGGAAGGACGCACGGACACCGGGGTCAGGCGGTGACGGACAGGCCGAGGCCATCTCACATTGCACCCAGCGCAACCCGAGCCGCCCTCAGAGCAGCGATGGAGAACAGGCGCCCACACCACAGAGCGGTGCCACAAAACAGCGCGGAGGCAGCAAAGGGGACAGGCCAACAATACCCCGCGGGTGCCCGCAGCAGCAGCG